TATCAATGAACAAGAACCCTGGATGCAGTTTGCCTCCAATTAGCCTATCTGGAAGTCATTAGAGAAGGCCCAGCATGTCAGCAGTGGACATCTTGTGGCTAATATGAGGATGATGCTGTAAAAAATTTCTAAGTAGGTACTTTTTCTACAAAAAGTGAAAAGACCCTTACCCAAAAGTAGTTCAGGAGGTCTGTACCATAGAGTAACTACTCTATTTGTGTATTTATTCACTTGTCCGGACTTCGCCAGGCTGAATGCTCTAGCCAGACCGAAGTCAGCAAGTTTTAGGATGCCATTTTTGGTGATCAATACATTGGCTGCCTTCATATCACGGTGCAAAATTTTGTTACTATGAATGTAGTATAAACCATTAAGTAACTGTTGCATGACCTTTTTAATCTCACCCAAACTGAATTTCACGTTGACATTTGACAGTAAACCAGCCAAATCGTGCTCGCAGAAGTCAAAAACTAAGTAAAATGTTGATCGGTACTTATTATGCAACGTCGCCTTCGTACGGCATATTTCTATCAAGTTTACTACGTTTTCGTGTTTTAGAAGCTGAAGGATCTTGATTTCTCTCAAGGCTGTGATTGGAAAACCTTCTTTTTCATTGTCCATTAGGACTTTTTTCATAGCAACGAACTTTTTGTTGCTATTCCTTGCGCGAGCTTTAAAGACCTCTCCGAACGTTCCTTGGCCGATTTTAGCGACCTTTTCGTACTTTGAAGACTCGTCACAGAAGGGAAAGTCGAAATCTTCGATGTATTTCTCCTTTTCTCTCATATTTAGGATCGTGGAGCTAGTGCTCATCACGGGTTGCGTAGGCTCCCGCGGAGCACTAACGCCTTGCATTTTGGACGCAATCTTGCCGCCTTTTTATTGCACTTCACCAAGGAAATAATGTCTTATGATATTTTTAATAATGAAGGTAATTTCTAAACAAATTCAGGCAAAATTTCCACGCACTCTCATCGCAACTTCACTCCTTTCTGCAATTGTCAAAGACAAAACAGAAATGGAAACAGAATATGTCACTGTCCTGTCAACGACAATTTTGACATAGACCAATAGGGACGTCTCTGTACCTTTCTGTTGAAAATTTTAACAGATTAGTTATTTTCCTGTTATTTCAAATTATAATGTTTTTGTTGGTGTACAAATGTAACTAAACTGTAATATTACTTAAAAAAACTAAACACTGATGAATTTTTGACACAAAAAATATTATTATAAGTCAAAATTTAATCAATCTGCTTAGATCATTGTAAGTCACGGGGTGACATAAAGATTAGGAGAAAACTATAGACTAGTTAATAATATATAGGTATAGTTATAGCTCTAAGTAATAGTTATAAATTTCGGCTGATACTAAATTTGTAACGTTTTAAATTGCTGCGCCCTAACAGGGTAATGTACTTAATTAGTTGTATGTAATACTTCATATTATATGTACATTGTGCAATATGAATAAATAAATAAATAAATAAATCAAGTAAATCGACTAACTAAATGCTTTTCAGAATGTTTACTACGTTCCCTTCTACGCATCATACCGCAAAGATGATCAAAAAAGCAGTCACACATCATCAATTTGTTCTAGTTTCCATAAATGGAACGTCACTTGTTGTCTGTCACGAATTAATTTATAATTTTAATATTTTTAGAAGAAATTATCGTATTTAGAGGAAAAAGAATCAGCAAACAGGTAAATAACAATCCAATAATAAATTTAAATAGCTCAATTTATCTCAGTGTGGTGTAAATAAACTAATATTTACATTTTCCTTGACGTCAATATCGATCCGTTTAAAAATAAGTGGGCCAAATATTTTGCAAGTTTCCGCAATCAAAACTATATTCGAGTGTCCGATAACGCTTGCTATTAAGCCAATGGAGTGTCTACGATTATATAGGATACCGATAACAGCTCTCAAATTGTTGAAAACTGAGTAAACTGAAAAATAATCCGCCCCTTTTTCGTGCCATCATTTAAGATATTTTACAGGTAAACAAACTATAAAATGTACATTTTACGATATATTTATACTTAAATTAGTATTAAATGAGTACTATTTAACATGATACACCAGTTATAGAGAGCTATAACAATTTTATTGTAAAAAATTAACATACGTAGCTCAAAAATCGTTATTGAAACATTTATATTTCTTTTAAGAGAGTTATTCTTGTAAAATTTCGTTGTTTGTCTCATTATACTTTAGGTTAATACTATTATTAAGCATCTTTATCATCATTAATATTGCAAGTCATTGTTTACATATTAATATTCTCTAAAATTGACAGTAAATCTAAAATTTATAATATTTTTATATAACTAGCTGTTATCCTCGCCTTCGTCGACGACGCCAAAAGAATTAAAAAGCCTATGAGTCTATATCACTCTCTAGCCTCCTATCTCCAGCCATAAAAATAGCAGCCGCAGCGGGCTTAACGGGTTGCCAGGGCTCCAGCTCGAAGTGCATGAGTAGGAACAGGGTGGTTTTTAGTGAGTGAGCGTCTGACACTCCCTATCGCCTCACCCGGGCGGGAGAGAAGTCATTAGATGATTTTCCCCCTTCAAAAAAAAAGCCTTAAATATAGTAGGTAACTATGATCAAAATTATAAATGCGATAGTTTTTGTGTATGTTTGTTACTGAATTACTTCGAAACAGCTGAAGGAATCGGGATCAAATTTGGAATAGGGGTTGATTATGGTATAGGATACTTTTTACCACACGGGAATTTGGGCGAACCATATAGCAGAATCTTGTAATACCATAAAAATAGTCCATTGTGATGACAAAGAAAAACAAACTCACATACTTTCATATTTTTAATATTAGTTAGACCAGTTTCTTCTTACATATTAATTGAATTACCATAATCTGAGTCATACACACAGACAGATGTTATTATTATATGACTTTGCGTTAATTGTATTAGTAGACAGGTGTCCATGAGTCATACATTAGTGTACACTAATTTATTCATGGTTTCATTTTCATATTTTTGTTGTTTTGGTAGTCAAAGTAAACTAATATTAGAAAAATATTGTGTATCTTTATTGGCCTCTGCTCTTTACATTCATGGTGGCCCGGAGGTTTAAAACGCCCACTTCTCATGCATGAAAGTGCGGGTTCGAAACCTACCAATGGCAACTACCAATGTGACTTTTTCCAAGTTATATGTACTTTCTAAGATTATCTAGACACCACTGACAAATGTTGAAGGAAAACATCGTGAGGAAACCTGGGCTTATAATTTCTTATTATTAGTCTGTAATCGCCAACCCGCATTGAGCAAGAGTGGTGATTAATACTCAGACCTACTCCGTGTGAGAACAGCCTGTGCTCAGCAATAGGCATTTATGGGCTGTTAATGTTGATGATAAGGATGATACTCTTTACATTGTTAAAATAATAAAAAAATACTATATATATGCACCACAATAAAAACTCAAAGAATAGATTTCATCAAGTGTGAAGACAAAGAATAGATTTCATCAAGTGTGAAGACAAAGAACAGATTTCAGTAAGTGTAAAGACAAAGAATAGACTTCAGCAAGTGTGAAGACAAAGAATAGATTTCATCAAGTTTGAAGACAAAGAATAGATTTCATCAAGTGTGAAGACAAAGAACAGATTTCAGTAAGTGTAAAGACAAAGAATAGACTTCAGCAAGTGTGAAGACAAAGAATAGATTTCAGCAAGTGTGAAGACAAAGAATAGATTTCATCAAGTGTGAAGACAAAGAACAGATTTCAGTAAGTGTAAAGACAAAGAATAGACTTCAGCAAGTGTGAAGACAAAGAAGATTTCATCAAGTGTGAAGACAAAGAATAGATTTCATCAAGTGTGAAGACAAAGAACAGATTTCAGTAAGTGTAAAGACAAAGAATAGACTTCAGCAAGTGTGAAGACAAAGAATAGATTTCATCAAGTGTGAAGACAAAGAATAGATTTCATCAAGTGTGAAGACAAAGAATAGATTTCATCAAGTGTGAAGACAAAGAATAGATTTCATCAAGTGTGAAGACGAATAATAGATTTCATCAAGTGTGAAGACGAATAATAGATTTCATCAAGTGTGAAGACAAAGAATAGATTTCATCAAGTGTGAAGACAAAGAATAGATTTCATCAAGTGTGAAGACGAATAATAGATTTCATCAAGTGTGAAGACGAATAATAGATTTCAGCAAGTGTGAAGACGAATAATAGATTTCAGCAAGTGTGAAGACGAATAATAGATTTCAGCAAGTGTGAAGACGAATAATAGATTTCAGCAAGTGTAAAGACAAAGAATATATTTCAGTAAGTGTAAAGACAAAGAATAGATTTCATCAAGTGTGAAGACAAAGAATAGATTTCATCAAGTGTGAAGACAAAGAATAGATTTCAGTAAGTGTAAAGACAAAGAATAGATTTCAGTAAGTGTAAAGACAAAGAATAGATTTCAGTAAGTGTAAAGACAAAGACTTGGCAGAGATTGCTGTGACGCATTTGCTTACAAAGGTGACATCTTATCAGGCTTTCCTTTTACTCAGAATTCACATTAAGTAGAATGGAAAAGAGGTGAGCAGAGAGTAAAGAAAATTATATTGCACTGAAGACTGCACGGTTGGCGCGGTGGCTGGGCAACTGGCTGCCGCGCAACGTGTCGCGGATCCGTTTCCCGCACGGAACAACTCTTTGTGTGATCCACAGATTGTTGTTCCGGGTCTGTGTGTCATGTGATATTGTATGTTTGTAAACGCAGCCCCGACACAGGAGAAAATCCTGTTGTTTTTTTTAATGGGGGAAAATCATCGAATGACTGCTCCCGCCTGGGTGAGGCGGGAGGGAGTGTCAAACTCTTACTGATTAAAAACCGCCCGGTTCCTTCTCCTGCACGTTGAGCCGGAGCCCTGGTAACCCGTTAGGTTCTCCGCGACAAAATAATGGTGTGGGACAACGTTTTGAAAAAAAAACAATTTTTGCATCTTAAATTCCAGCATCATGGCGAGTGAGAGCAGCTCAGCGGTGCTGGAGCTGAACGACGCTGATGCTGAAGACACGGAGGCCACCACCGTGACTGATGATGCTCATGAGGGAGTACCATTGATTATGGAACACGGATATGACATCGCTGTTAAGGTAGGACTGTTATTTAGTATCTGGTTAGTTTTTGGAGTGGTCTGATTGGAAAAAAATGTGAATTACCGGGTTCAAATTTCTCTAAACCCTGAATCCCTAACTATCCTCAAATTCCTAATCCCCAAAAAGCCGGTAACACACTTGTTACACCTCTAGTATTCCGGGTGTCCACGGGCGGCGCCCATTGCTTACCATCAGGTGATCCGTCTGCTCGTAATAGAGATATTTAGAAACATGCCAAAAAATATCGGCCTGGGAATCGAACTTTAAAACTATTGTACAGCAGTCAAGTTTGTTATGGTTTTCTCACATTGAAGGAATGCGCATTAATCTCCACGCTCGCTCAATGCTGGTTGGCGATTTCAAACTTATAACTAGAAATTATAATACTGAATGCTATTTTAACAGCTACGATTGGAGTTGTATAGTGTTGACATAGAATAATTATTGAGATTTTATTGGATTGACATTGAGATTGGTTTCAAGAGTAAGGGCCCTGATCCTAGCGGGTTACCGGGGCTCCGGCTGCAATAGGAATGGGGTGATGTTTAGTCAGTAAGAGTCTGACACTCCCTCCCGCCTTACCCATTAATGCGAGAGACGGAGTTGTTGCGAATATTACCAGTACAAAAAAAAAATTGTGAGGTAACTTTTTTAATATCATATGGGCCGGCTCGACCGGAGTGATACCACGGCCGAGCAGAAAACCGACATGAAGCAACGCTTGAGTTGTGTTTCGTCGTGTGAGTGAGATTACCGGAGGCCCAACTACCCTCCCCTTTCCCAATCTCCCCAATCCCTGAATCCCCAACGATCCTCAAACTCCTAATCCCTAAAAAGCCGGTAACGCACTAGTAACGCTTCTGGTGTTCCAGGTGTCCATGGGCGACGCCGATTGCTTACCATCAGGTGATCCGTATGCTCGTTTACCGGGTTATGCCATAAAAAAAAAATTATTTCCTTTCAGGTGGACGCACCGATGAAGCAGTTGTCGACGTTAGAGACGTTCGTGACGTATAGAGTGCGCTGTGTGTGCGCTCGGTGGCCGACACCGCCTTATGTACGGAGGCGATACAATCATTTCAAGGTAAATACACACCGTCATACAGTCAAATAACATAACATAACATCACGTCTTTTATCCCCAAAAGGGCAGAGGTACACATTATGCCACTGTACAATGTAACACCCATTTTTCACTATTTATGTTATGAGTCCCATGTAATAGGGGGTGAGCATATTGCCGTTGGCCGAGTGTTCGCAAGTGCGACTGCCGGGCAAGGCGACTCGGTTTCGATTCCCGGGTCGGGCAAATTTTTACTGGGTATTTAAAAAAATTCTCAGTAGTAGCATGGAGTCTGGAATTGTGCCCGGTATATGGCAATAGGCCCATCCCCTATTACATGGGACTCATAAAATAAGTAGTGAAAAGTAGGTGTTGTATTGTACAGTGGCATTAAGTGCCGCAATGGGCACCTCTGCCGAACCCTCTGGGGATAAAAGGCGTGATGTTATGTTACCTACGTAAATTTTCTTAAAATAAATAAAATATCTTTATGTCCTCCCCCCAGGTCCTCCACCGTCGGCTGAGTACGTCTCACCCCCTTCTCGCCCCCCCTCCGCTCCCCCCGCTACACTCTGCACGACAACAGCTCGACAGATACTCGCCATCATTCGTCGCTCTACGGACCTGTGCTCTTAATGCTTTCTTGGGTAAGTTGTTTTTTATGGTATAAGTAGGTAAACGAGCAGACGGATCACCTGATGGTAAGCAATCAGCGTCGCCCTGGAACATTAAAGGCGTTACAAGTGTGTTACCGGCCTTTTGTGGATTAGGAATTTGTTTATTGATGGGAATCAGATATGGGGGGGGGGGGGTAATTGAGCCTCCGATAACCTCACTCACACGACGAAACACCACGACGGTGGCTTAAAGAATTGGGTAGTTTCCAAGGTATCAAAATTAAAAATCTGTCCGTCAGGCAGATCAGGGCTGTCCAATCTATATACCCTCGCGGGCTAATTAAACGACAATGACCAAATTTGTATGAAGCGTGGTGCCTTTTTATTTTTTCGCGGCAGTTGATCGGATGTGGAGCAACTGATGCAGAATAATATTACAAACAAAAAAATATATGGGGATTAGCGCAGCGACTGGAGAACTGGATACTATGCAATATGGCGCGGGTTCGGTTCCCGCACGGAGCAATTCTTGGTGTGGAGTGATCCACAAATTGGCTCGAAACTAGTACGTGCACATGTTATATATAACAATATTTGTGTTTATGTTTTCAGAACGAGTAGCGAAGCATCCAATTCTGACACACAGTGAAGATTTCAGAATATTTCTGACTACACCCGATGATGAATTGGAAAAGGTAAGATATTTTATAATTAGGAGGAAAATGCTTAATCTAATAGGGGGGAGCCGGTGCGGTGAGTCCGTAAGGACAACCCGGGCCACGGCAACAGGCACTGGAGGTACACCGGGGTGGTTTTAGCCGGTAATAGCCGCCCTCCCCCCCCCCCCCCGTCGTCCCCACGACGAGGGGAGTCCATGAGGATTTTCATCGCAATAGAAAGAGAAAGGGGGTGAGCCTATTTCCAGCTATTGAGTATGAATTTAAAACTGTAATAAAGGATTGAATTCAAAATCATCCAATGACTTCTCCCACCTTGCCTGGGGCGAGAGTAAGTGTCAGACTCTTACTGACTAAAAATCGCCCCGTTCCTACTCCTGCCCTTCGAGCCGGAGCCCCGGCAACCCGTTAAGTCCTCCGCGGCTTCGTGTCGTCTAGTAATTCCCTACTGGACGAAGTACGAGAGATGCACACTAGCGCCACCTGTTGAGTAGCGGGAGGGCGGTGCTGCATACTGCATGCTGCAAATTCATTCTCACAGCGGAAAAAAGACTAAATATTTTCCCAGTTGTCTGTAAAGACATACTACATGTTTAACAACTTCCTGCAGCCTCGTTGGCCAAGTGGTCGCAAGTGCAACTACCGGGGAAGGAGTCTCTGGTTCGATACCCGGGTCGGGCAAAGAATTAATAGGTTTAAAAAAAAATCTCAGTGGTAGCACGGAGTCTGGAAATGTGCCCGGTCTATGGCAATAGGCTCACCCCCTATTACATGGGGCTCATAACATAAATAGTGAAAAGTGGGTGTTACTTCTGTGTGCACCTCTGCCTACCCCTTCGGGAGTAAAAGGCGTGATGTTATGTTAATGTATGTTATGTTTAACAAAGTCTGGATCACTGAAGCTGACAATGTTAATTACTTTGTTAAAGGTGTTTAAAAGCGAAAATAGCGCGCTAAACTTGTGGGGGTTCAGCAGCGCCCTCTACGGCTCCGGTGAAACGAAAACTACGAATGGACCACGGTAAATATAATTTTATATTATTTTCATCTGATTTAATTTTATGAAATGAGTCATTTCTCATCATTCAATAATATGTCACATTCGCTGCTTTTAAAATTTGGCTAAACTAATCTAATACATTTTGTCTTTTTATCGTTTAGTACTAAGTTATTTAATGTAAACCAATTATGAACCTTCATTAGGACATTATTTACGTCGTCATAACTATTTGTGCGTCTATTTATTTTAAAAACCAACGAAGTGTCATCAGCAAATAAAACCTGTGGTTTCAAAAAATATGTGGTTCATTTTTAAATACATGGGGCAAGTCATTTATGTATGTTAAAAATGAGAATGGACCCAGTATTGAGCCCTGCGGTACACCCATAGATATACTAGCACCCTGTGAGTTAACTTTGTTTATTTTTACTTGGAGTTGCCTATTCTGAAGGTATTATTTAAATAAATTTAGTGAAACTCCTCGAATGCCATAGTGTTCCAGTTTCAGCAGTAATGTCTCATGCTCAACACAGTCAAACGCCTTCGAAAGATCACAAAATATTCCTATTGCATCCCGTGTCTCTTCCCACGAAGCGAAAATCCGCTTAATTAGCGCTACTTATACAGTAGTGTGTTATACTAAATTGTATGCTTTGTAACGAAGCCATATATTTTGTAACTCAGTCGGCTCTAGATAACCAATGGTTACTGTCTCTGTACTGAATGAATCTTTATCTTACCTAAGATACTAAATAACTTTATGTGACTGTCATAATGTTTTTTTTCCATATCGCTCGTATACTGAAAGGCTGTAATTTTGAGTTGCACAGAAATGTCGTGCCATCTATATATATAAAAGAAAGTCGTGTTAGTTACACCACTTATAACTCAAGAACGGCAAAATAGATTTGGCTGAAAATTGGTAGGGAGGTAGCTTAGAGCCAGGAGACCGACATAGGATACTTTTTAACCAATACTTTTTTTTACTTTTTACCGAAAATCACGAACGGGGACGGGAAAAAATGGGATTACGCGTACGAAGTCGCGGGCAGAAGCTAGTATCTGATATTTTACAAAGAACTATACTTAAGCGCGACTAAAAATTGTGTCGCGTTTGAGCATTTCGACATGAGTATGTCTTAATTAATTATTATGTTTTGCCGCTTACTCACGTAATTTATGGCAAGAAACTCGACTAGTTTCAAACCATCCTACTGGCCTGTGCCAGTACTGTTAGCAGCGACAGACGCTGCGGCTCGGATCGCGGAATGCTTTTCATGAATATGAGCCTCTAGTATGGCTTGAAACTAGTCGAGCTCCTCGCCAAATAATTACACGACTAAGCCGAATAACATAATAATTAATTACGTATGTCTCACGAAAATCTATATCTATATTCTATATACTTATAATAAATCTGTAGAGAGGTCAATTCTGTACATAAAATATATTTAAAAAATAACTATCAAGGGGTGATTAGGGATCGCTACTGGTGCCAAAAATGCAATCAGTAAAATTTTTGTCTGTCTGTCTGTATGTTCGTTATGGAAACAAAAACTACTCGATGGATTTTAACGAAATTTGGCACAATTATTCTTCATACTCTTGGGCAGGTTATAGTATACTTTTCATTACGCTACGATCAATAGGAGCAGAGCAGTGAAGGGAAATATTGGGAAAACGGGAGAAGTTACTCCATTTTTTAAGCTTCCGTCGCGTGTGCAGGCTTATAGGTTAAAGCTGCATAGAAATCATGTATGACGGAAATATTCTCCTTAAAATTATATAAAAAATATTCCTCGACAGCATATGTCTATCTTTTATGGTTGACTCACAATAACACGTGAAACTTCCGATAGCTTAGCAATTCGGTGATTTATGATTGTATTTGTCTACTCTAACGTTTACAATACTCATTCATAGACTTTACGCTGTATCTGAAAGGCCAATGGTTGAAATTAGCTTGACTCGATATTATAAATGAAAATATGTGAGTTTATGTGTATGTTTGTTACTCAGTCATATTAAAACGACTGAAGGGACCGGAATGAAATTCGAAACAGAGGTAGATTATGGTCTGAAGTGATACATAGGCATTTTACCCCTGGGATCGCGGGCGAAGCCGCTGGCAGAAGCTAGTTTATACTAATATTATAAAGCTGAAGCAGTTTGTTTTTTTGTTTGTTTGAACGCGCTAATCTCCGAAACTACTGGTCCGATTTGTAAAATTCTTTCAGTGTTGGATAGCCCATTTATCGAGGAAGGCTATAGGCTAAAAAATATCACGCTACGATTAATAGGCGCCGAGTAAAGCGAGTGAAACCGCGCGGAAGTACCTAGTTATAATATGTATAATTGAGTATTTCATTTCAGAGTAAAAGACCCAGAGTTCACGTCAGCAGCGGACTACCTACAGTCTCTCCAACAGAAGCTGAGCACCCTCTGTTCCCTGACGACCAAGTTACACAAGAGCTCGCTCGCACTCAGCACTGAGTACACCGCGTGAGTATACTTCATTGTCATACATCTTACTAATATTATAAATGCGAAAGTTTGTGTGTTTTTTTTATGGCATAAGCCGGTAAACGTGCAGACAGATCACCTGATGGTAAGCAATCGGCGTCCCCCATGGACACACGGAACACCAGAGGCGTTACAAGTGCGTTACCGGCCTTTTGGGGATTAGGAATTTGAGGATTGTTGGGATTCAAGGATTGGGGAAAGGGGGGTAATAGGGCCTCCGATAACCTCACTCACACAACGAAACAACGCAAGAGTTGTTTCACATCGGTTTTCTGCTCGGCCGTGGTATCACTCCGGTCGAGCCGGCCCATTCGTGCCGAAGCATGGCTCTCCCACACTTACATAGGACATAGGCCTCCAATGGCGCGCCACTGACATAGGCCTCCAATGGCGCGCCACTGAGCTCGGTCTTCAGCTCTTCTCATCCAACCACTGCCAGCCACCTTGCGGATGTCGTCCCTCCACCTAGCTGGAGGGCGCCCTACACTACGTTTGCCTAGACGCGGTCTCCACTCTAGAACTGTCTACCCCAACGGTTATCGGTTCTTCGACAAATGCGACCGGCCCACTGCCACTTCAGCTTACTAATCCTTTGGGATTCAAGGATTGGGGAGATTGAGGAAATGGGGTGGGGGGATAATTGGGCCTCCGATAACCTCACTCATACGAGTGCACATAATGCAAGCGTCATTTCACTATGGTTTTCTGCTCGGCCGTGGTATGGCTCTTACACATATAAAATGTATATATCTTCTTGCTATTTTGCTTACCTATAGTTCAGAATACGGAGAATGACATACCTTTTTGCCTTTTAAAAGCTAATAAAAATAATAATAATTTTGAATTATTTTTTTTTCACCAGAATGAAACGCGCCTGCGACGCTTGGACATCCCAAAGTTCGGGTCTAACGGCGCGGGGGACGGCGGGGTGCGCCGCGGGGGCGGCAAGGGCGGGAGGTGCGGGGGGCGGCCCGGGGGGACGACCCCCTCTACAGTCGAGGGCACTACTACCTTTACTAGCAGCATACGCAGCCGCTCATGTACAGAAGATATCGCAAAGGGATCAGATACATGGTGAGTTTAACTCACTTCTAACTTAACTTGCCCCGTTTGTTTCTTTGAGTCTTTAGTAATTGTAATGTCCCCCCTTCCTGACGACAGATCGATCTGATATTTGGTACACACTCTTAATTTTGATGACCATACAATATACATAACATAACATCACGCCTTTTATCCCCAAAGGGGTAGGCAGAGGTGCACATTATGCCACAGTACAATGTAACACCCACTTTTCACTATTTATGTTATGAGTCCCATGTAATAGGGGGTGAGCCTATTGCCATATACCGGGCACAATTCCAGACTCCGTGCTACTACTGAGATTTTTTTAAAACCCAGTAATACAGGCAGTCCACAACTTCTTCCGTTTGGATGTCAGCGAAAGGACTTGATTGGTAGAATAGAGCTCATTGAAACCTTTTAACATAAAAATATTAATTAAAACTTATTGCTAATGATTATTTTAATTATTTCAGCTGCATACGTTGCGGGGACCAATACTACAGATGATCTGCATAACAGGTAAGGACACAAAACCCAACGGGTAACCGGGGCTCCGGCTCGACGTGCAGGAGAAGGAACGGGGTGGTTTTTAGTCAGTAAGAGTCTGACACTCCCTCCCGCCTCACCCAGGCCGGAGCAGTCATTCAATGATTTTCCCCCCTTATAAAAAAGGACACATTTAAAAAAATAAAATCTGGCATTGATATGTTCTTGAATATCCAAAATTACATAAAACATAACATAACATCACGCCTTTTATCCCCGAAGGGGTAGGCAGAGGTGCACATTATACCACTGTACAATGTAACACCCACTTTTCACTATTTATGTTATGAGTCCCATGTAATAGGGGGTGAGCCTATTGCCATATACCGGGCACAATTCCAGACTCCGTGCTACTACTGAGAATATTTAAAAACCCAATAATACTTTGCCCGACCCGGGAATCGAACCCGAGACCCCTTGCCCGGCAGTCGCACTTACGACCACTTGGCCAACGAGGCAGTCAATATCCAAAATTATTGGATTAAATATTTTTGAGATTATTTGATAAGATTCTATAAGATTAAAAGACCTATGGCGATCATCAATTTTAAAAATGAAATTGGAACCACAAAAATTATATATTAATATTTTTTTATTTCTCAATGTTTAACAAAAATCTTAATTCCTAAGTTTTAGCGAGTTATATTACAGAATTTTTACATTTAATATAAAATATCATTAACAGGTTAGAACAAGCGTCCGAAGCTCTCCGATCCGAACTATCAGACTGGATACCAAAAACTAGATCAGAAATCAAAGCCCTACTCTAGATTTGGCTGACAGGCAAGTCAACCAATACACGCAAGCGGTCCACGGATGGGAACAGGGCCTCAAACTAGCAAGCGAAACAAATATAGGCGATATTTTCAAAACAGTTTCAAAAACAGCTGTACAAAACTTATCTCCGTCTCGCTGTCTATCAGAGATGACGCCGACAGAAACTGAACGAGATTTAGATGATTATAGTGAAGAATTTGATCCAACAAGCCATGAAGATTTTGATAATCATGTCTTAGATGATGCAAGCGAGAAAATTGGTGCTGATAATCAAATAGATGGTGAGTCGAATTTCGAAAGTACTGTGAAAAGTAGTGATGATGTTTTAAATGAGATTTTAGAAGATAGTAAAGCTACTGAGGTTAGGCCTTTGGAGTCAAAAAATGCTAGTACAACTGATCCTTAAGAGATTTCACTGATGTTGATCTATCATGATTTTACGATTCCATTTTTTATGGTCTTCTCAAAGATTTTTAGTAAAGGGACTGGCAGAGATGTAAGTTAGGTAGAAAATTAAAAGGTGTACCCCAAGGTTTTTCGCTTGGACCAACTCGAATTTTTGCGTGGATTTTAGTGTGTAAATTGAGTAATTTGATTTGATATTGTGTTTAATAGTTTTTGAAAGATTGAGAGTGAAAAATATAATGTTTTATCAACTGATTTTACTTAATAAAGATGTTTTTGTGGTTAAATGCTAATGGCCGTTTTTACCAATCATCCCCTTAGCTGTCACTTAAGTAAGAGTTACTTTGCGTGACATAGTACCTAAATTAGCCCCTTACGTGTGCTGTGAAGTGTCATTAATAGGTTGGTGAAAATATGTCATTAAATATCACCTATATTAACTTAGGGGTTGCTTTGATGGAAACGATCATTAATTGGTGTCGATATATAAGACACAATAGAAAAGAAGAACACACATTGTGTCTTACTTAGTTCTGCGTTTCGAGACATCACAGGTTTAATAGACTGGAGTTTCAAATAGGTCTTCCTCTCTTAAATAGTGCCTAAATCCACCAGTCCTAGGTTTCAAAAATATAACTATACTCGGAATTTTAATTCGATTTCAGATTTGACAATTTCAGTGTTGCAACGTTAAGTCAAGTAGTAAATAGTGACGTTGCGAAATTATTCGATATGGAAATGCAATATTTTGGATCGATTCTTCTCGTTTATAATTTTACTCTCGTAAACTAAGTATATCAGGAAATTAAATATTTCTGAACCGATAATTTAGTTTTGACGATTAATTAACGATCTGAGACTTTTCTTTTATAATTGTGTGTGAAATAAATAAAAAAAATGTAATCATGAAGGAACATGATAAATAAAACAGATAGATGTATCATGGTAAAGTTATTTTATAAATTGTCGCCGTCATCGCTATCGCTGTCACTTTCTGTAACATTTATTATAAAACACACACACCGATTGTTTATCGATTTTTGTGTGCATCACTACACTATTATATGTGGTATCATTATTTCACAAAATGACAGTAGCTATTGTCAAATCTGGAATCTAATTAAAATTCTGACTATAGACTTGGGAGGAAAGAATCGAAGCCACTAACGTTTTTTAAACTATATAATTGATAAAAAGTTTCTTCTACAAAAAATGCTCTCATTTTAATGGTAACTAAACTACCTCGTTGGCCGATTGGTCGCAAGTACGACTGCCGGGCAAGGGGTCTCGGGTTCGATTCCCGGGTCAGGCAAAGTACTACTAAGTTTTTATAACATTTCAGTAGTAGCACGGAGTCTGGAATTGTGCCCGGTACATGGCAATAGGCTCACCCCCTATTACATGGGACTCATAACATAAATAGTGAAAAGTGGGTGTTACATTGTACAGTGGAATAATGTACACCTCGGCCTACCCCTTCGAGGATAAAAGGCGTGATGTTATGTTATGCTGAATTGCCGTTTATACGACATATGTTACCAATTAATAAAATGCTAGTATCAGAAAATATTTATAAAGAAAAACGCTAGCGGCTTCGTTCTTTCTCTTTTACTCTCAATCGTAAAATATAGTTTAACCAACACTTATTATGTATTTTTCGAATAATTAATGAATAAAATTGTGAGGTCTATCGTATGCTATAGTGATGACAAGGACAATATAGAGGATCGAGGGCAGAGGAAAGGTAAACTCTCTTGATGGAAACCAAAGTATTTCATTTTAAATAGAGAGCCATACTTTGACATGAATGGTAGATCTCGACCAGAGTGAGGGCTCGTACACAAAACTGTGATGCGAAGCGATCCTAATTCGCAACGCAAAAAATTACGATGCAAATTGCTGCGATGCTATAGCTAAGCGCTAAAGTGGCGTTTGGCTAAAGGCACAGATCTTCCCGTTCTACGTCCAATAGAGAGTTAGCTAGTGTCACGCCTCTACAAGTAGACAAGCGCTAAATGGAAATGCCATTTCTGCTACACAGGCTACAGCTGCTGGTTAGCCCCATTGTCCGATAGTGCTCGTTCCAAAATTCATGGTTTTAAGATAGCCCTTACCTCTGCCCTCTATACCATGAGATGTGTATCCAAAGCAATCTATATTTCATATATTTGTAATCATATCATGATACATAGTCTTATATACCTACCGTTTATTAAATTATTTACTTTAATTCTTGTATATAAAGTTCAGGTTTATACTATATTTTCGTTTTAATGGAATGTCACTTTTTATGTATGTTTGATCCCATTCTGGGCCAAAGTTGGCAAAGTATTTTTAGGTTTTTTGATTATCAGTGCGACACTGCCTCGTTCGTAGCGATAAAGCCAAGGAGACACTTTTTTTTTAAGGGGGGAAAATGATCGAATGGCTGCTCCTGCCTGAGTGAGGCGGGAGGGAGTGTCAGACTCTTACTGACTAAAACCTAACGGGTAACCGGGGCTCCGGCTCGACGTGCAGGAGAAGGAACGGGGTGGTTTTTAGTCAGTAAGAGTCTGACACTCCCTCACGCCTCACCCGGGCGGGAGAATCCATTCGATGATTTTCCTCGCTTAAGAAAGCCCCAATATTAAGAAAAGTGACATACCATTATTTATTATAACCTATGTACTTGTATTTTAAGTGCAATAATTACGCAAAATATATGCATATCAAAGTAATTTGACTGAAATTCGGCATTTTATATTTTGTCGTAGTTTTGTTGTAGTATTTAAATTGTATGTATATAAAAGATGCATACTGAATCCTTACTTATATTATAAATCGGAAAGTAAGTTTGTTTGTTTGTTCCACTTTAACGCCGTAATTACTAAACCGATTGCTTTGAATTTTTGCAGATGTATATTTAGAAGTCCGGATTAAATAATAGGGTACTTTTTATCCCGGAAAAATTTGATATTCCCGAGGGAAAACAAGTATTGGTATAGATGGCGCTGTGTGTATTGGTATATGTCACAATGGCTTTTTATCCTTTTGTGACGCGAGCGAAGCCGCGGGTAAAAGCTAGTATCTTATATATTATGTGGATAGTCTTATAATTGTATGCTCGACGTTTATGAGCCCCGGTGTGACTTGAAATTGGTTGAGTTTGTGCGAAAAATTTACGTAAAGCAGATATATTAAAATACTAGCTTCAGTTTGTGTTCCTGTGGGATATAAAGTAGCCTACGTGTTATTCATAATCTACCCCTGTTCCAAATGTCATCCCGATCCCTTTAGCCTTTTTGACGTGATTAAGTAACAAACATACACACGAACTTTCGCATTTATAATATTAGTAACTAGCTTTTACCCGCGGCTTCGCTCGCGTCACAAATAGATAAAAAGCCAATGTGACATATACCAATACACACAGCGCCATCTATACCAATAATTTCCTTTTCCCTTGGGAATTGCAAAATTTTCTGGGATAAAAGTACCCTATTATTTAATCCAGATCCGGACTTCTAACTTTTCGTCTGCAAAAATTCAAAGCAATCGGTTTGGTAGTTACGGCGTGAAAGTGGAACAAACAAACAAACTCACTTTCCGATTTATAATATTAATAAGGATAAGGGTTCTTGTGCAAACGGGTTCTGGTTCAAACGCATGCATACAATTATGAGTCTTATCGACATAGTTACTAAAATTCTTTTGTATTATTATTTATGAACTTGTAACTACATAAAAAAAACAATAATAATTACCAAATGTTAATTTAATTTTAATATTTAGATCTTGTAACTTATTTGTAACGGAGAACAAATTCTTGTTTTTGACGGGACTTGAACCCGTAGTACAGTGGCAAATCTTTAGTTACTGTTGGTAAAATTTAAACTTTATTTAGAATTAATATTTTTTGGCAAAAGCTGAATATGTTCAGCTATTGTATACTGTTTGTGTCAAAAACAGTGACTCGTGTAGACACTAGCCACTTTCGGACTAGACCTCAAGGCTAATTTTGTAGGCAATTAGTTGTATTATCACCTCCCGAGAGGAATACGTCGAGGTACAAGTCACCTTGTAATAAATCTGAATAGTTTGAACTGCTAATCTCCGGAACGAATGGTTCGATTCCCATGAAGGGGATGATGACAGGGTATGAAGGGAGAAGAACATCTACCATGAATCGGTGACGCTTCGCGGATTGTCTTGTGGTACGATGATAGAAAGGACTAGGGGGTTCTATCAAGTTGTGCAATTGGGATGATGACAGGGTATGAAAATTAAAAATCTAATAAGTCCGTCAGTTAGGTAATGAAAATATTAGACACGTATTTTTTATTTTGTCGTATAATAAAACAGTACTTAGTAAAACGAATCAAAGTTTAGGAGTGGGGGCTAAAACGTCATTTCTACGTATAAAATGTACATAGAAGTGACGTCACGCGACATTTCAAATCAATATATCGTCAGTATTAGTTTCTGTAAGAAAATAAAAAATACGTGTTTAATGATTTAAATAATCTACCAGACGGACATTTAAATAAAAATTAGGCATCTACCCTTGTCGGACGGAGAATTATCGAGCAAGGCTATAAAAATCACGCTG